GAAATAAAGCACCAAAATGTGCGCTGCTTTTCGGTCTGGTTACTATGTCAGTACCCATCCCTAAGTATGGCTGTGATCAGCTTCATGTCAGACCTCTTTCATGAAGCTTTTAAGCCTCTTCCAGTATAAATAATAAATATTTACTCAAACACTTTTTAATGTACTTAGTTACTTTAATGTACTTGTAAGGATTTCCATGTTGTGCTGCTTTCTGTGTTTATTCCATATTTTGGATGCATCCACTACACTGTATACTCCATATGATTTATTTTAAAGCTTTAGTTATTATTTTGCTGATTCAGTATTATAGATCAAACTGTCCAGCCATTTATAAGTTAAATCATCATCGTCAGCTGCAACATTAAAGAGATTTACACATCAATAAATCAATAATCACGATCCACTGATATCATATATAGAACAGAAATGCATAGTGAGGACAGTTACTTTAGCTACTATAAATATATTTTGGAAGTACAACTTGTTTACTGTTTAGGTACTTGATAAGGATCATGACGTTTAGGTTATGATTATGATTATGTTGAAATTATCATGCAGCCCCACGTTTCGCATAATAAAGCTGTAATAGATGACAGGCTGCACATGAGCCTGAAAATCCTGTTTTTATGTTCTGATTTTATTTCTGTAGAAACACTCTGATGTCCTGTGGGCTCCTCTGGCGTGTTCTTGGTCCCTGTGCACCACATTTAAAAATACTGGAAAACTCCTGCCGCTGCATCTTTGATTCAGTTTGAATCCTCGGATCTTCCGTACTCCACGGCACGCTGCAGTCAGACACCTTACAGTAAAGATAGATCACTTTGGACATTACAGCAGAAAGTGGAACAGAAGGTTGTCAGTTCTTTGATCCAAGTCCTGTGAGGCCTGGATGCGCACAACGCTACCTGCAGAAGAGTAATATCACATCTGACTGTTTGATGTTAGTTAAACCTGCCCCATTGTTACCTAATTGCCACCTAATTTTATAGTCACACTGCACATAGTATGTAAATGTTATGCTTCTTTTAGACGTCTGAAATACCTGAGGGAGGCTGAAGTGTTGGTGCACCAAAGGCCAACCAGCAGCAGAATAATTGGGGGAAGGAAAGGCTGCCGATTATTATGGGGTTCAAAAGTTCTTCTGTGGAACCAAACTTCAGCGAATCCCAAGGCGGTCGGTTAGGTCGGCTCCTTCCAAACAAACACGATGAATGCACGGAGCAGGAATCAGAAGAATCCATTCACACGTTTGATGTTTCTGCCAACATAATAAATGAAGCCTGCAGTACAGAACAGTGAAATCTGCAGCAAATATAACATCATAATGAATCTCATTCAAGAAGCATACAACAAATGTACTAAATCTATAGGGACTTCACGAAGGAAGCAGATGTGGCAGACTACGTCAAGGAAACAGTGAGCTGTCGTTGTATAAGTGTGTTGGATACAGGAGAAGGTGACAGCTGTAGCGATGTCAGGGACTTTGACGTGGTCCAGATTATCTGCCTGTAAACGTCTCACAAATGCTGTTCTTGTGGTCAGAGGTCACAGGACGGAGAAACCATACAGTAGTGACAGGACATGAAACCAGTCCGATCCACAGAGGCTCCGCCTACATCACAGGCCTTAGATAATCAGCTGCTCGCGTCTTGTTGTGAGATAGAAGGTCACCTTCAGATGTCTTGTAGCGTCCAGGCCTCAGCAGGTCCACGCTGCACCGACCGTCTCGTAGGTGGTCGTGACGTTTTGGCTCATCCTTCTTATACTTCTGAAAAATAGTTTTAGAAAACTATTCATAACACATCTCAAACTTGACATGAGAGTTTTTTAAGGACTTGTGCATCTATTTTGCCCCGTAGCTCATGTCTCATCCCTACCTGTCAGCCAAAAGCGACCTGCTGCGTTAAGGTTTCACACCCCTACAGCCACATGTGCTCGGACTGAATTCATTATTCTTTAATGGCATGCGCACACAAGCTCTTAAGTTCCTGATGCAATTATTGCTCATACACCTCATGCAGATAAATGTGAGCTGCACTGTAGTATCCTGCTGTTCCTTATTATAAATAGCCTCTAATGAATCGTTACTTCAAGCCTACCGATAGGCCTTTGACATGAGTTATGTGTTATGGTGGTTATGAGAGCACACTGCCAGGAATCATCAGATGGGGTAATTATTGCCTCCTCCAGTTTAATCCGCCTTGGCCACATCCTTACATGTTGCACTGACATTGCGTGGAGGTGTTTCAGAGGCTTTTCTCGCCCTCCCTCATTCTAGCACTTTGTTGGCTACACAGTACTTTTGATAAACCAACATAAAAGGTTTTTGTAAGACACCATCAGATCAGCTTCAGTGCACCATAGCATTGATTTTTCAAGTGGCTGGAGCTCTGCTGCAGAGATGGAGTTTTCTACAAAAGATGTTCCTTCATTTAGTGTTTTGATGATATTTTGGACCGTGCACCGTCTGAGATGTCGGCCCAGTGTCACGACTTTTCAGCTGAGGCTGGATGGTGATGCTGATGGTCATAGCATGTGGTTCACTTCATTTTCATACTTTCATACTCAGACCATTTTCTGAAATACGTGTGCTGTTTGGATGGGGCTAATGTGTTCTCGGACTCTCCCACTCCCACCAGAGCAGAGAGGTTTTACTGTAGCACAGAGAACGGTGATTTGCAGTGAAGCTTCCCTGTAAGGTGAAGCTCACAGCAGCACAGCAGCTCTCATAAAGAGGCCAAAGGCTGATTCATTACATGTCTCTGTGACTTCGGAGTTTTGCATGTGCAGCATCTTTTCTCTGTCATATGTTTCTATTTAATTAACTTGTTGACTTACCACAGGGAAAGTGCATTTTGCTGTAATAACAATGCTTGTTTTATGCTGCCGCAGTTGTGTCTGTTTGCATAGGTATTAGCCTACGGAGAGCCTACCAAAAACCCAACAACACGTAGCTCCACGGTGCAGTCTGACACTGGCTGCTGGGCTGAAACAGAAACAGGAGAAGCAGAAAAACCCACCAAAGACAAAAAATAAGTCCTGAAAAGCACAGACTGCTGCAAACACTTTTGTATTTTACACTTGGTTTCAATTCAGCTGTTTCTAGTTAGGACTTTTCTCTGGAGCTGACTCACAGACCTGCTGTCCCACATACATCTGCCTTCATCTGGCAACAGACCGGCTCTGGAGCTGGACCGGCTCACCGAGTCCTAGCTGGTGTCTATGTGGAGGAATGACCGATCTCCTCACCCTCCCTCCTGCGGGCCCATCACCAGCATTAGGGCCACGACAGTTCGGAGTGTGGACTGGGCAGCGATCGGGGTGGAGGTCCTGTTGGTCTGATTCCCAGATGCTAAAAGTGGCTAATTAGTCATGTGTCTGTATATATTTTCCTTTCATAGTCTCTTCCCTTTTCCTTCTGACTTTCAAAAACAACACGCCTCTCTCCTGTGATTACTGACAGCAGTAAATTTACTTAGATGCACTCGAGTACCCGTCTTAGTGAACCCATCAAATCCTCTAATTGGCAAATGCATTTTCTAGGCTGGGCTCATCATAAAAGGCTCTTGATTGCAGAGACAGAGCCTCTTTCTGTTCAAGACAAAATTCTAAAATTATCGTCCTCTTTTGCATAAAAAGCCGACCTATCTTTAGTAAAATGAGTAAACCAACAAAATAATTAGAAGCATGGTGGGAATAAAGTCTCCATCCTCTCACTGTACAGCAGGTTATTCTCTACATACATCAATCATCTATAACTAATTGTAAACAGAGACGGAGGTTTTATTACAGTATGAAATTATCAGTGTAATTAGATCCTGAGCATGTGAGCAACAAAGCCTCTCCTCCGATGTGCTCCCTCTTTGTACTACATGTAGGCACACTGATAAGGATGATGAACGGCTTCTCCCGTAGCTGCTGATGGATGATACTGTCATTGTGACAACATCAAGCGAAAAATTTAATGAAAATCTTTGATACCTTGAGGCTTTTTGCGGTGGCACAGTGGTAAATGAGAGAAACACGAGGTTCATGGCTCTCAGAGATTTCACTGAAGCCTGACAGCAAATGAACACTGACCATTATTCTCCCGGTGTGCACAAACATAAATCTACTGTACCTCAGCACTATATGTGTTTGACGTTCCTCTCGCCATCCATGGTTAAACAGTTTGCTTTGACTGAGGACCCCCCGCACCAGATCTGGTCGGCTCACAGGAAGCAGTCCTTCCTTTGAAACGTAGTTTTGATTATCTCAGTTTCTTAGTGGAGCTGCATGTTGAGGGTCTCCAACTCTCCTGGTTGTATTTACTGCATTACCTGGCAGGCAGCGTGGAATAGGCACAGAGGTTTGTTTTGTTATTCTGCAACAGGCTGCTGATTTAATCAGGCAAACCACAGTGGATATGGCATTCGTAATTACACTTTGACACTCAAATTGGAAACAGCAGATACCTGATGGCTGTGCAAGGACTTAATTAATCTGCTGTGAGGGAAGGCCTTGATACGTGCAGGCTGGTGTGGAGAACACCTGCTGTCCATCTCGCTTTTTGACGTCTCCGAATCCATTTGTAATTCTTTAATTCCAATTATCAACCATAAGTACATTTTTGGATGCAATAAAAGTGTTTAATAATGTTCCAGCTCGATAAGTGGGGGCTGTTGGATGAGACCAATCATTTACAGCTGGTAAGGAAACGCGCCTGACCACAGAAAAACAGCTTTGCAGTGTGCCGTCATGTCTACTTCAGTAACTAATAATGCATGAATAAAGGTGAGTATAAGTGCGCCATAAACAATGTTCAGAGAAACAATATTTTGTTTGTTCCACAGCCTGTTTGAAGCTGCACGGCAGCAGATGGTGAGAAAACCGAAGCTCAAGATAAAACACACAAGGTGTAAAGATACTCATTTAAATGCAGAGGACTGTTTGTTTGTTAAAAATTGAAAATTGAAAAATGAAAGGCTGATATCCTGCTTTCACAATGACAGAAAGGGGTTTAAAAAATGTTTCTGATGTAGCAGATGCAGTATTAATTTGCCAAGTCCTTCAAATGTGGCACAAAAACTGGTCCGCTGGTATTTTAGGCATTTATTTATCAGTCGGCCTGCAGTATTTCCATTTCTGTTTCTGGATACCTGCTGAATGTGCTTCCTGCTGGGGTTTTAAACACAACACAACACATATCGCCTCTAGCATCAATAATTGTGGAAGAACAATACATTTCCATGTGCAGCGTCACCTTTAACAACCTTCCTGATTATTTAAAAAACGTGTCCTACAAGTTGAATCGGTGCTTCTTTGATAGCGTGGCATTTCTGATGTCATGACATTGATGCTCATTCAAGTGAAGGTCCGATGTGCTCGCTGTAATGTCACTGCAGAGCTGCTGCAGAGCTGCTTTCATCAGTTTAAGCTACAGTGAACAGTTGCATCAGATAATGAGTTTGTGTCTCCTCTGTTAGTGATTACAGGACTGTGCTAATGTGTGTAAACTGCCAGTCTCGTCTCTGGTGAGATGCTGAAATAAGGTCAGCATATCCATAAAAACTGTGGCTGTGCCTTCTGGCTCAGATAATTTTCCATATGCACAATAACTCAATCAAGCTGCTTTTTTTCTTAAAATTCTCAGCCAAATGAAGAAATCAGCACTTCAGCACATCGTTCGTGTCATTCTGCTCGTCTCATATTCAGAATCAGTCAGAT